CTTACTGCTTCTTTCCATGTTTTTCCCAGACTGGCTGAAGTCCTGCTACTAAAAGGCTTTCAAAAGGTTTTTCTTCCACAGATAAAGTAGCAAACTCTGAAATAAAATAACAGAAATTAATAAAACCTAATTTCTCTTGCTTGTAATCACACCCTAAGAGCATACAGAATGTGGGGAGTTTTAAAGGTCAGAGATGACTCCTTTTCAAACAACACAAACAGGCTTTTAAAGCAAACCTTAAAAAAAGGTGTCTTGGACCAGCAGTGTCCTCTCCTTTTCTGGTCAATATTTGTTTGCAAGGAACCAGCTCTGTGTTTTCCCCTCCACAGTTGCAAGGCCACCAGCTGAATTTCGGGTTTAGTTTTGAGGTACCCAGTGCACAGAGCTGCATGTGGGGCTGGGGACTGCATATTTACAGCAAGGATTTATAGCAGGAAGCAGCAGTGACTGAACTCAATTCTCTTTTCTGACAATAGGACTGGGGGGTTGAATTCAATGCAATGCTGAGCACATCTGAAATATTCCACTCTGTGCATTTTGCAGCACTGATGATTGAACTCGACATCCAGCTTGCCAGAAGCTACATGTTTGGTATGGACATGGTGCACTTGGAAATCTAATTCCTGATTCTGTGCTGTGCTGGCAGTAAGGGACAGACCTCTGGCCTCGGTGCCCTGGTGCACAGTGATTAGATGTGTGTGTGTGACTCAGAGGAAGCTGTCTTAGCTATTCACTGATGTAAGGGAAAGAGGTGGACCTGCAGGAGCCAAAAGAAACCCAAAGCACTTTTATAACCTACCAAGTCCATGCCCCCAAAAAAACCATTCAAACCTCAGTTCCCTCAAGAGATAAAAGTACCCTGTATTGAGAGGATTTCTGGAGCATCTTGTGAAAGCTAAGTACAGCCTCCCTTAATTAATGGCAGTCAGCTCAGTGAAGTTGTGTGAAAAGCTCCAGTGACACAAAGCCCAGAAAGGCTTTAGCAAGGGAGCACAGCACCAGAAGGGTTTAATGGCATTATAATGTCCTTGAATTCCAGTGGCCACAACACAGAGGTGTATTCCAGCAGTACATTAACAGTAAAAGAAAAATCTACTCTTTCTCTCTTGAGCCCTTGTCATCTTTACTGAAAATTGGAGTTGCCATCCTTGAGATATCAAAACTCAAAGGGAGGAGGAAGGGAAGAGGAGTAGATGGATGGGAGTCACTGGATTTTGGAAAGAAAACAAATTGGGTTTCCCCACAAATCACCCCCTTGCTCCAGCCCCTTTGTAGCTTCTATTGCATTTTATAATGTGCTTTATACTCTTCTGGAATCTGTCCGTTTTGCGATCGCACAGTGCCCTCGGTGACGCCGGGGAGCCGCCTTGGCTCAGCACAGCCCCTCTCCTGCTCGCACCCCGAGGGGCTGAGCAGGGGCTCCGCTCCCGCGGTCCTGCCGGGCACGGAGGAGGGCGGGTACCCAAAGGATGCTTCCACGAATTAACGCCGAAGGAAAGGACCCGCTTGACAGGCTGAGCAACTGAATCCCGTTGCAGATTGAAAAGTAGACATGCGGGCTCGGAAAAGGCGGTGGCAGCCGAAGCTTCTCCGCGCTGTTCCCATCAACGTGAACACGGAGAAGCCACCGCGGGGGGGGACAGCCCGCAGCCCGCAGCTGCTGAGCCGCCTGTGCCGGGGCTTCCCCCGGGTGCGTGTTTGTCCTGCGGGAGCTCAGCTGAGCCCCGGCAAACTCATCGTGCAAGATATTCACTCTTTTCCGACGAGCAGCTTGGAAAACCGCGGCGTCAAAGAGAAGGAGAAGCTCAATTTTTCTTCTCTCCCTGCATCTCTTTAAGTCCTTCTCTTGTGCTGGAAGATGAATAGTTCGGATGTGTCTGCAGCAACACGGGCATGGCTAATCTGCCCGTCTATTGATGACCTGTTTCTGAATGTGCTGGCCTGATTTATGAAAATGTACTGTACTTTGCCCCATGTTTTGATGTTGCTCTGTTAGGGCTGCATGCAAACTGCAGCAGAACAGTGATGCTTATTCATTCAAGCAGTGAAGGGCTGGCTGGGAGCTGAATGAGCTCATAGTTGTTGCTGACTTCACTTACAGCAAGGGAAACAGGCACAAGTGGGTGTCCCAAGCACAGTCATTTTTTTCCTGACCATCAGTTTGTTTTATAAATAATAATCCTGAAAGCACAAGGTCATGGTATTTATTTAATCATTCATGTGGTAGGTTTTTAGGGATGGATTCTTTTTTTAACTCTCTTTTTGCAGTAAACCCTGACAAAGTTGGAGTTGAGGTCTGTTTGCCTGCCAGATTTTCTTCCTCTTGTCATTGCTTGAGCACTGATGAATTTAAAATCTGATAGTCTGATTCCCATCTCTTACTAGCATAATTCAGCAGTTATCTCCATGGCTGGAGAGAGTCTCAGTGGTGTTCAAGCCTCCCTGTGCTGAACTGCTCCTCACACGTTAACAGACTAATAAAACCAGCAGCAAAATCCCACCTGTGCTGCCTGTGTGTGCTTTAAAAGCCACTGTTCAGACAGTGAAGCATCACCCTGGAGGGAGGATGTTTGGCAGGTCCCCTGCCAGCAGCCCTGGTGAAGAGCAGAGCAGGGGACATGCAGGGGAGCTCTGCTGGGGGCTCCAGCACCTCCACACAGTGGTTTGGACTCATCCCTGAGCTCTGATTTGCAGCACAGAAGTTCACCTGTTGCCTTCAATCCCTAGGAAATGTTTTCAGTCCTAGGTCTGTCACCCATGGGGACGTTTAATTGCCTAATGTGTTAATTAGCTGACATTCACCAATGTAGGTGTTGGCAGCTGGGACCAGAGGTGGTGAGGAAGTCACACAAAGCTGTTACCTGTTACCCATGTGCTGCTCAAGAAAATCCTTGTCTTCAGACCATTCACTTGTGCCTCTGGGCCAGCCTGCAGAGCACAAGGGCAAGTGCAGGACCTCAGGGCAATCAGCTCTTGGGCTGAGTGTGACCTTGGGGCCGCTCTGTCTTCAGCTTTATGTGTTGCTTCTCCAGTGGAAATCAGCATTTTGAAGCTCTGCCCAGTTTCTCTTCTCACTGGTGTCTCAGGGGAAAGAGGAAAGGCAGAAAGCAGCAGACAAAGCTTATTAGCACGTAGGAGAGTTGTCTGGTGTGAGAACAGCACTTAAAATACAAGAAGACAACAGGGATAAGCACAGTGCCAGCAAGGAGGAGATGATTTCCACTTACAGAAGCAAGGTGGGAGAAGGAGCAGATGTACCAGGCACTGCCTGAAGGTCTTCTCACTTCCTGCCTGTCGGACAGGCCATTAGGCATTGCAGGTAGGAAGGATGATGTAGTTCTTGCCCTGAAAATATCACACTCACATTATCGTGCCTTCTGCGGGGATGCAAGAACAACGTCTGCTCTCCTGCTGCTGCCCAGACATGCTGCTCCCAGAAGGGGACTGTGCTCATGCCTCCAGCCTTCCCTGTAGCCATTTCTGCAGCCTCACATGGAGCTTGTCCCGGAGTTTTGCCAAGTCTCATCTTCCTCAGCCCAGGCCAGTTTGGATCAGCTTTGTGATGGAGTGGATGTAACACCAGTGCCAGAGGCCCCAGCTGGGGGCCTGCTGTGAGGTCCTTCCCTTGCGTGTTGTACCCCCATGTTTTGAGGGGTTTTTTTGACAGCAGCTGCGTTGTCTTGCTGTGCAGCACAACGAGATTGGATCCTGACAGGAGCTGTTAAGAGCTGGTGTAAAACAGGCTAAGATGAGGCTATCCCGAAAAACATAAATCTGCCTGTAAACAAACTCCTTACTTTTCTGCTGAAACCAACAACAACTATAAGATTTTGACCTTAAAACAGAAAAGACAGACATTGCAAGAGCCACGATAACCTTTTCTGGTACGTTACCTAGGCTCAGACAAGCAAGGATGGAAATGGATTTGCTATGGATCTGTCTGTGAGGGGGTTGCTGTTGTTTAAAGATAATAATATTAGAAATGCAAATTATCCCAAAAAAGCTGGTGATATTAAATACGATTTAAATTCATTTAGCATTCAAACAGAAAAGTAGAAAATGGCATTAAATTCAGATGAGGATGAGGCTATACATTCTGGAGTGACAAATATTAAATACATTGACGGAATGGAGTAGAAGGCCTGGCTGGTAATGGATTGTGAAAAGAGTTCAGGGTTTTAATAGATCATTCCTTCAGATCATCAACACGGTAAAGTGGTAGTTAATAAATTATTTGACATGTCCATTTACTCATATATTTTAACTAACTGTAATGAACAGGTCCTGTCAGCTCACCTAGATCCTTGCAATAGCTGCGAAGTCACTTGAGTGAGATTTACTAACTCTCTGCAATATTGATGTCCAGAGCTGCAGGTAATAAATAAAGAGACATCAGGACTAGCTTGAGCTTCTGCTCAAGTGTTGTGTAAGGCCTCTGTCAGATTTGCAGCAGGGATGAAGCTCTTCCCTGTGATCAGTTTTTAGTTGTGACCACCCCATGCCCTGGTACCTGCAACGGGACTCTTGAAAAACCCTCTGTCTAAGTTTAGAGTCAATTAGAGAAATTTGTCCCTTGCTCAACTCCCTGTACCTGTTCCCCCCCACAGATATTTTGTGTTCCTTGGGCTGCACACAAGGTAGAGCAGGAGGACTGGAGAGTCTGACTGAGCTTTGGGGAAAGGAGAAGGATCCTCTCTCACTGCCATTATACTGGGACTATCCTACTGTTGGAGTGGGAATTAAGGACCCAAAAGCTGTTCTTTTATCTTAAATTGTACTGGAAATGTTTATAGCAGAAGAAACCAGCCTGTTCAAATGTTGCTGAATTATACAGGCTGCATACCAGGCACCTTTCCTGTTATTCCTAATTGTCCTCTGAACTTGGAGCTTGTTTAAATCTAGATCCTTTCTCTTCTTCCCACCCACTTTCCCAGCATGTGGTGTACTTTATAATTTGTGAAGGGACTCATTAATTTTTTTTTCTTTCTCCTTTTTTTCAGGTTTCTGACAGATGTGACTATGTTTTTGTCAATGGGAAGGAAATGAAAGGCAAAGTGAATGTCATAGTTAATTTTACTTACCAGCATCTGAGTGCCCCTTTAGAGATGACAGTCTGGGTTCCTCGTCTCCCGCTGCAGATAGAGGTCTCTGACACAGAACTAAATCAGATCAAGGGGTGGAGAGTCCCCATCATCTCTAATAAGAGGTAGGTTTCATTAGAGGATGTTCATTCTGGGCTGTGCACTTGCCAGAGACCTGTCAGGGCCAGTGGATCTGAACATGCTCATTTGGCCTTAATGCAATTCTGCTCTAAATTTGAAGGTCACCAGACATTTATTCAATAGGCTCCTGCACTGGACTTATAAGGGAAATGGAAACTGCAGGTTGCAGGTCCTGTATTGGAAATCAATCCCCTTTTATAGCGCTAATGACTGAGGTGGGAAGAGCCAATTGGTCAAGTTAGGTGGGATCAGGCTTGAGGCAGCAAGAAGACATCAGCAAGAACCAGCTCTGGCAGGGGTGGTCAGTCTGCAGCCTCTTCACAGGTCCTGGCAGTTAATGCATTCACTGTTAGTGGTCACAGTTAGCACAGACCTGTTTCATGTCACTGTAGGGTGCAGTGGCACTGGTCAGTGTCCCAAAGTCAGGACCCTCTTACATGAGGGCTTTAAGATATTGTCTGTACCCACAGGTCAGTGGCATGTGAGTGACAGAGGATGGATATAGGCAGCTCAGAACTGTTGCAACTGTTGTCAGTGCTATTAAGAACAAGAACAAATTGATAAAGGAGGTACTTGGTATTCCTACCAGCCTATAAAAACATTTGTTACTGGGTTCCTGTCAGTGTCACAGCAAAGAGATTTTGGTGGAGATGTGATTTCAACCTGAACACCGTACAGAGGGGGATGTGTGTGCAGGTGCAGAGGAGATTTCCATGGGAACACAAAGATGTTTATGGGAAGATCCAGAAAGAGAAGTGGGAAGGTCCTGAAAGTAAGGACTTGACATGGAAAACAATGGGAGATATTTGGAGAGGACAAGGTGGCAGGGAAGCTAGCAGGGCAGTTGGTGATTTCAGCTGCTGTTTCGGAGGTCTAGGCAGCCTGGAGGTCTCAGTTATGAACAAGGAAAACAGGGTAAAAGTGGGGGAACCTGGCTGACTTCAGAAAGCGCTGATGGACGCAACTTGGTCCAGCAGCCATGTTGAGATTTATACCAGCAATAACTCTCCTCTTCCAAGCTCTCCCAACAGCAGTTTAAACTAATTTCTTGTTCTTGGTGTCCTCCCAGACCAGCCAGAGACAGCGATGACGAGGAGGAGGACGAGCGGAAGGGCAGGGGCTGTGCCCTGCAGTACCAGCACGCCCTGGTGCGAGTCCTCACCCAGTTTGTGGCTGAAGCCTCGGACCCCGGTGGGCAGACGAGCTTCTTGCTGGGATCTGACTGGCAGATCGACATCACTGACCTGGTGAGGGACTTCATGCAGGTGGAGGAGCCCAGAATCGCCAAGCTGCAGGACGGACAGGTCCTGGTTGGGCTGGAGCTGGGAATGACAACCATTCAGGTAGGGAAAATGAGTCACTTGTTCCTTTTCCTCCAATAACCCACCACCCTGAGAGCTGAGGTGCTGAAGAGGTGGTGCAGCATTAACAGCAGAAACTGGAGCCATGAATTTTCGAATGGGACAGAATTGCAGCAAGGACTGGAAGACACAGAAGAGATGGTTTTCTCTTCTTAGTTTGTGCCCCACAGTAAAATAGATGGCAGTTTTATTTGATTTGGTCAAACCTGTATATTCAGAGGCTTTTTGTGGTTATTTTTTCTAGGGCTGTTTTTGAACCTGGAGCCAGTGTGTAGGTTACCACAAGGCTTGCAGCTGGTGGAACAGCTCAGTCTTCTCAAAGCCTACATTGACAGAGCAAATGAAAAAGTGCTGGTTAAGGAACTGAGACTGGAATATCAATCCAAATATTAGTTAAAAGAAAAGGAAAAGGAGAAAGGGGGAGACAGATTAATTTGGTGATAATACAAAGAAGAAAACATGTTAAGAAACACTGGAACAGGGAAAAAAATGTAGCTCTCCAGACATGCTCATCATCCCAAACTGTCAAAGCAGAAAACAACCATCACACCTGTTGATAACAAGGTCATCAGGGCTGGAGAAATGGGATTTGAGATTTCTGGCTTTCTGCAAAATCTCTGAAGATTTTCTGAAAGACTTTCCAGAGCTCTGAGACTTGCAGTGCTCTGACAAATACACATAAAACTGTGGAAAGAAAAATTCCAGGGAAAAAAGCTGAGAGCAAGTTATATTTAAAGAATACCTCTTACAAGCTGCTTCCAAAATGCTCTGTACCCTATATGGATCATTAAATTCAACTTGCTTGCTAATGAGCATCTCTGGATGTCCTGTGTCAGTGCACTGACCTCTGTGCATATTTTCTTAACCAAAACAAATTTCCCCTATCAACTTTGTATACAGTAACATGAGTGGCTATTGTAGCAACACATTAACCTTTCTTTCCATAGGATAGAAATAAATGCCATTTGTTGAATAGATTTTATTTAAACCTACGGATTGCATTATATTTATGCCACTTAAAAACATGATCATTAATAAAATACTTGCATTTCACATAAAGATTACATTTACAAATAGTTAATACATGTGAAGCAGAGTTAATACATGTGACAGAGGTGAATGGCATAGCTGATCACAATTACATTGGTAAGAGCTTATAAGCCCCCTATTATTGCAGAAGAGTTATAAAATGTGACTAGCTGTTCTTAATCATATTTTAATAGTGTCTGTCTGCTATGAGGGATTCTTCCCATTACCATAAACGTCCCTTATCTGTATTACAGGAGCTCTGTGCAGCTATTTCACTTGGTGCTGTGCAAAATGGCTCTTGCTAACTTCAGTTTTTCTTTTCAGATACTGTCCCCCCTTTCAGATGCCATCTTGGCCGAGAAGACAGTGACAGTTCTGGATGAGAAGGTGACAATAACTGACCTGGGAGTGCAGCTGGTGACTGGACTGTCACTCTCTCTGCAGCTCAGCCCAGGAAGCAACAAGGCCATCTTTGCTACAGCAGTGGCACAAGAGCTGCTCCAGTCCCCAAAGCAGGTACTGTTGCCCACATGTGTTGTGTTGTGGGAGGACACCACTCTGAGTCACCACATCTGACATTACAGGCTCATGGAATCAAGCAGATTTTTATTAATAGTGTGCTAATGAAACATTTTGCTTATGGAGACTTTTCTGAAGGCCACCGAGTGCCCCAACAGAAAAATAAATATCTCACTGAAATGGCACTGTGTTTAAACAACCCAGTCACCAAACACCCCATCTGTCATGGCTGCATCCCATAAATAACACAGGCAACTCAGTGATGCTTCATAATTAAGCAACAGCAAATCCCTTACACACACACACACACACACACACACACATGCCCTTTCTGTCCCATCCAACACTTAATAGATCACAGGACATATTGCCAACTACATTGCCAAGTTCAACCTCCCACCACAGGTACCCAAATCAACCCTTTAATTCCATCTTGACATGAGAAAGTGTTTTGCATTATGCCAAACTCTTCTTCTTTTAGTTACTTTCTGTGAGCACTTTAAGAAGTCAGGGAACATCCCTTTCATTCTGATTCATTACTAGAATATGAATCAGCATCACTGACTCATTTCCTGATTCATGATTTCATAAACCATTTTTTTTCCCCTTATTATTCTTAGTTCCTGTATTAGGGAACCAGCAGTTACCAAGGGCTTTTGGACCTTGCCATGTCCCCATCAGTCCCTGTTTCGTGTTTGTCCTTGTGCTTCTGTATACATTTGAAATTTAAACATTTTTCCAACCCAAATCCATCAGTCTGGGACTTACATCAAGGATACACTGGCTCTTAACACTTGAACATGTTCTGAGCTTTAAAGGTAAATGATCATGACACGCACGTTTGAAGTCTGGCCAACTGTTGAGATGCTTTAATTCATCATGGAGCCTTATCCTTGGGATGCAGGATGAGAAATAATGCAGGACTGCTGCCTTTATAGGGTGATAAACATCAGGCTCCTGTAGTCTTCCAGGAGTTAAGAAATCGATGCCAGGCAGCTGGAAATAAGGCCAGTGAGCTGTCCATTGCTGACATGGGGAGTAATACAAACTGCCTTGAAATCAGCCCAAAAGTGGGGATTGATGGCATTTATTGCCACTCTGCTGCCCAGCACTGGCATTTCAGTTCCCAGAAATGGAGTCTGGACAGGTCCCTCTCTGGATTCAGGGGCACAGTCAGAACAGCATTGGATCAATATTAAGCCAGTGAGGAAGGTGTGTGCTCTCCATCCTTCGAGGGCTGGCTCTCTTTTGAAAGGCATCTGATTCCCTCCATTGCTCAGGCCATGATTTTCAGAGCACAATCCCTGTAAGCAAAGCAATGCAAAATTAATAAATGGTTATGCAGGTTTAAGCAACGCAGTGGGAGGATGAGAGTTGATGACACAAATTCCATACGGCCTTCAAGAAACATCCAAAGATTAATAAACACAAAGCAGGGATTTATGGCAGTGTCAGCAAAGTCTTAGGGCTCTGTCCTGAAATAGAGACAGAAGCAAATCTCCCATTGAAGCAGGGGGAGCTTTGTGGCTGCAAGGATTTCGGAATCAGGCCAGTAGATTATGCATGGTACAATCCCAAAAGACTGGAAGCTTATTCTCCATGCTATGAACAGGTGAATGACTTTGTGCTGGGAACAATTTCAAAGATAATCATATATATTTATTCTCTATGCATGTGTGGAGTTAGAATGTAAATACTGTCTGTTTGAAAAACTGCTTATTTAAAGGAACAGGACTTTTATTACAGCTTCTGCAAGTTAATCTGTTGGTTGGGTGTTTGTCTCAGACTCTCAGAGCAGGGTGATCCCAACTCTCAGGGGACAAAAGCTCATCTCATTTCAGGCACTAAAGAATCTACTGATCAAGCCAGGAGTCTGTCTGATGTGGATTTTCCGGTGTCTAATAAGATGCAAATATTGCAAACAAAACAGGGCAAGTCAGGCCACCAGAAACAGGAATAAGATTCCAGGAGAGCACCTTGAATTTTGTCTGTAAATGATCCATGTGTGAATGCAAAGATTTTTTCAGGGAGCACTGCAGTTTTCGACAGCCATTTGTGAGTCCTTAGAGGACCTGATTTTCAGCAATGGGTGAGCACATGTTTTCTGAAATGTTTCAAGGTAGAAACCAAAAGTGAAGGTTCCTAGGAGTGCTGCACAATCAGGCACATTCTGTTACAGAATTAGTACTCAGGTCAGATTCATCTACATTCAGCAAGCCTCCATGCACTCTGAAGTACACAATCTGCATTGCTGTGACACAAGATTAAACTTTATTATTGTCTTGCTTTTAATTGCTAACAAGCATGAAAATTACCCTGGCCATTTCCTAAAGAAGCAACTGATTGGTTTACTTTGCTTGTACAATCCACTAATTTAATTTGAGAGACAAAAATCAAGGAGTGAAGGTGTGGAGCCGTGTATGGACCTGCTTGCTGTATTAGGTATTTTTTTAGCATGTGTTGAATGTAATAAGAGGAGACTTTGTATTTTAAGCAGTTTAGAAATAATGTAATTTTTTTTTCATTTAAATATACAACAGTAAATGATCTCAGTCACCGGTAATGCTTTCTGACATGCAATTTATTATGGTGCTGAAGTAGATTCTGCAGAGCCCAGGGGATACAGCTCCTTTAAGCACCTTTGTGGAAACAAATCTTATTATCAATGAGTGTTTTAGACTAGTATTTCTCTTCACATCTTGGCAGGATATTAATTTTATTGCTCTCCCTATTTATTTCTTTTCTGGTTACAAATGGTATATGGATCTTGTGAGGAGGAGGGAATAGACTGGGACAGACTGTATTTCCCTCAATGTTTATTCTCAGTGTGTGTATATTTGTTTTGTATACTACAGGAAGCAGCCATCAGCTGCTGGATCCAATTCAGTGACGGATCTGTCATGCCCCTGGATATTTATGACCCCAAAGACTTCTCCCTGTCAGCCACATCGCTGGATGAGAAGGTGGTCTCCATTCACCACGACCCCAAATTCAAGTGGCCTGTGATTGCTGCTGAGACAGAAGGCCAGGGGACGCTGGTGAAGGTAGAGATGGTGATCAGTGAGTCGTGCCAGAAATCCAAAAGGAAGAGCATCCTAGCTGTTGGAAGTGGCAGCATTAAAGTCAAGTTTGGGCAGGGTGATGCCAACCCCAACATCAGTGACAGTAAACACAGGGGCGCTGGTGTCCACCTGGAAAATCGCGCCAGTGACCGGCGCCAGAAAAACACCCTGCAGGAAAGAGCCGGAGGGGATGGTCACTATTACAGCTCCTCCATGGGCCACGAGCAGGGCAGGGGAACCACCACCCAGAGGTCTATTCTAAGTAGAAAAGAAGACAGAGAAAGTCTCCTGGATGATGACAGTCAGAACATGCCCATAGACTTCACGAGCTTCCCTGCGCAGGTGGATCTGCCCAGAAACAACGGAGACTTGGAAGAGAATGACCTGGTGCAGTCACCCAGGGGACTCAGTGACCTGGAGATAGGGATGTATGCTCTCCTGGGAGTCTTCTGCCTGGCAATTCTGGTCTTCCTTATCAATTGTGTCACTTTTGCTTTGAAGTACAGGAACAAACAAGTTCCCTTTGAAGAGCAGGAAGGCATGAGCCACTCTCATGACTGGGTTGGGCTGAGCAACAGGACAGAACTTCTGGAGAATCACATAAATTTCTCATCCCAACAAGAAGAACATATCACAGCCATTGACAGAGGAGTGGACTACGAAGAGAGTAAATATCTTCTCAACACAAATGCCACCAAAAATATCAACGGACAATCTTTCAGGTCTGCTGAGACCACATTCACTGAAGGGAAAGAACAGAAAAGTGAACCAACTACTTCTCCTACCTCTAAGAGGAAACGGGTTAAATTCACCACCTTTACCACCATCTCCTCTGATGATGGGTGTCCAACTGTCAACTCAATCTTGATGAGTAATGAGGATGACATTAAATGGGTCTGCCAGGATATGGACCTGGGGGAATGCAAAGAACTTAAAAACTATATGGAGAGGTTACACGAAAATGCGTAATGAGACACAAGAGATTTTTGGTTTGGTTTGTTCGTTTGTTTGTTTTTCACTCACCTTCTGCCTTTAATTTTGGGTAGTGGGGCAAAATAGCTAACAAGAATCCACTGGTGGATAATAACTCAATGGAGCCCCAAGAAGCCACCCAAAAGCAGCTGGGAGAGCAGAGATCCTGGACAGCTCTTAGAATTCAAATCCTCTTTGTGCTCAGAGATGGAAGTGAGAGATGTGTGTGGTTTTTTGATACATGGTAACACGAGAAAAAACCTTAGCAAAATAATATGGTTTCATTCTCTGAGCTTTCCCAGGAAATCAATAAATATAACAAACTCCAGAGCAGTTTGGATATTACAAAGTTCACACAGCTCTACTGTTCAATATTGCAAGCTTTGGTTAAAAGCAAAAAATTGGTCTCAGAATAAATAGATCCACGAAAGAGCGTGTCATCCAAGCCACGTGCAGAGAATATCCATCCAAGAAATTAATTTAAAGCTGACAAAAACAGTGTGAGCAAAGCAGCTCCCAGAGCTGAAGAGTCATGAGTTTCCAAAGAATCTGGAGGGGGAAAAGGAGTAAGTGGGCTGTTTAACAACCAGCATGTTTGCCTCCCAAGCACTGAGAATGGATACACATATACAGTTAAAACTGAAACTCTCTTTTTAAGTAGATGCCAAGGTAATAAACTTTGCCAGCCAATTTTCAGTATTTCCTAATTTGTAAAATAGGAGAAGATATAATCTATACTCAGAATATCACTCATATTAAGGAAAGGTCTGTTTTGGAAAGTTTGAGAGAACGCGCTATTTTTAAAAAGCCCACTTTCTTTGATTGCCCTGTTTCGAATTTGTATTCCCAGCCATTTCCCTGGAGCCTTCCCCATCTGGCATCCTGAGGGCACTTCCCAGCATCAGTCACCTTTGGAAGCCTGTGGTTCCTTCCTTCCCCTCCATGCACACTCCCTCCTCCACGGTGTGCTCTTGCCAAGCACAGACCCTGTTGGTACCACACTGGTACTTGCTTTACATGCTGTCATTTACCAAAGCTGGCCACTCTCTCTCTGGGTAAGTGTAACTTGTGCTGAACTCAGCACCAGCAGCAGCTGCCTCTTTGTCCATCCCCTCCCCTGGGGGAGGTCGGGTTGTTCAGTTCCTTCTGCTCCTGCCTCTTTAGGCCCCTGCTCAGCACGTTTAGAGGGCACTCGGAGGTCGCAGGGGAGAGCTGCACATTCAACATTGAAGCCTGAACAGCTACACTCAGTAGATAACATTTGTTTCTCCCAGAGGTGATGATTATCTTTTGTTTTCTTCTGATAAGGATGTACATACAGTAGGATTTCAGTGATTACCCTTCCAATCCGATGTGCCCTCCAGCCCCAAAACCATGACATTTTTGGTGAGGTCCAAAAGCAGCCTCCAATGGCCAGTGGCAAAGTGCCAAAGCACTAACTAAAATCCAGCTTATATTTCAAGTTTTCCTTTATTTTCCAGAGTAAATCCCCGCCCTTCTTTTGTTATTAAGTCTCTTCCCATCATTGAATCTAGGTTGCTCAGTTTAATACACACCCGCCCTCCCACAAACACTTAGATTGGATCCCTCTATATTTAGAATGTACTGTAGATTGTAAGAATGTAATATATATATATTTATAAACATGCCAACTGTGAATAAAATTTGCATTTTAGTGGCTTCATCTTTTTTTCCTACTCTGAACGCCTCTTTCCTTTCACTGTCAGAACGTTTACCCTAAAAGAGACTGGCAGCAATATGGAGACGTGTCCTTTGATGAATCCTTGAAGGCTCATGGCACAGTCTAGTCACCAAGTTTTACACTGTGCAGTGTTGGGGGAGAACACACAACATCAACAGCATGTTATGCTACAAATGTATTTGCACCAAGCCACCCTTCCAAGGTTTGAAACTATTTACAAATAAATTCCACATGCATATTTCTAGCCTGAAAGCCCGATATGTTGAGTTTCTGCTTTTGGTTTCTGGTTTTCTCCTGTTGGGAAGATCCACAATTGGCTGAACAACCTTTTGAGGCGTTTTTAAAAGAGTAGGTGTAAATAGGGCAGATATGCCCAAAACTTTGGAGATCAGGACTTGCACATCAGACGCTCTTTGCTTGCTTTCAGCCCCTCTCCTCGAGGCCTGGATGACCCAGTGCAGGAGGAGGTGCAGCAGGGAGGGCAGCACAGTGCAGGGCCCAGAGTGGCTCTGGATGAGTGCTCAGGTGATGGGAGCAGTCTTGGTGCAGCAGCAGAGCATGGCAGGCTCCCGGCGGGTTCAGCCGTGTTCTAACCCACAGTCTTGCCTCCAACTCTGGAGCTATTTTGGGTGCTTTTCACACATCACTACACGGTGTCCTCAGACACTCACCCTGAGCAGTGTGTGTTGGTCAGGGCAGAAGTGTCCAGCTCTCAGCTGGCAGCCTGTGCACATCGGAGGTGTGCGTGCCAGGTCGCCTCTCCAACGTCACGGCACAGCCGACCCTTCGGAAGAGCAGGTACAGGCCATGCTGGGAGCAGCCTGTCACAACTGCTTTGCCAACGAGCTGCTCTGGTAAACCCACATTTCTGCCTTAGCTGCCTCTGGGGAGCAGGAAGAACTAACAGCGAGTTCATCTGGTAGCACAAACCACCGAAAAGTTCTCCGAGGACAAACAGCCGGCGGCTCCAGCACGGAGGACACTGACGTGCAGATTTGTGCCTCTCTGCTTGCTCAGAGCTCCCTGCTGTCTCTGACAGCTGTAACTTGCTATTATCCAGTGCTATAAATAACACATAGTATTTAGAGTGCCCTTTGTCCGTGGATCTCACAGTGCTCTGAGCAAGGTGGATTCCTTATTGACACGGAGAACCCCAAGGTTAAGTGATGTGCCCAGAGTAACACTGGAATTCTGTGGCAAAACCACATTGTGCAGGATCCTCAGCTCTGCTCAAGGAGAAGCCAGAGTGAATTGTGGCTCCCGTTATGCAAGCAAACACTCTTAATTAATCTGCTAATAGCAGAATAAATCACTTCCTATAGAGATTTTTGTATGTACATATGTATGGGGGGGTGTTTGTGTATTCACTTTTTGCACTGCACAGAGTCCACACTTTTATGCAAGAACTTCTGCACCATGGAGCATCCCAAGGGAGAAAGTTTGTGTTCCAGGTAATCAGATGAGATCCTAACTGGCAAACGGGGGCTAAATTCTGTTCCCCATCATAAAAGCAGTGATGGTGTTTGGGTGCTGCATTCACACAATGTTTTGCAGCTGTGGCTCCCGTTGGCAACCTCTTGAGCCTGATAAAGAGCCCTGCTGAGAGCAAGCAGTCTCCTGTGAGAGTTATTAATTACCTAACTCTTTTTTCTTTGCTCTTGCCTCCTTATTTTCATTTTTGAGTCTCTTTTCTTGTGAGAAAGAGTTAGACTGATAGACTGATACAGGCACGTTTAAAAAGAAAATTTATCTGATGCAGTTTGGTTCTTTTTAGAGACTTTATGCATGAATACAATCAGGAGCAGAAACTCGATGGTCCTATAAATCAGGTAAGCTCGTTCTTTACTCTCTTCCGTCATTTTAAAAGCTTCCCCTTCAGCAGTCTTAAATATATAGTAGTTTAGACCAAGCTGCATTAATACACCAGCGAATTCAAAGTCTGAGCAATGCAGCCACATAATTGGTTTGAAACAAGACTTCTGTGGAGGTAAGTGACTTGAAAAACCAGAATAGGTATTAAATCGATGTGCAGCCAGCACTAAGTAGCTCTGGAAACTACTTTCACACCTCGTTTCCATAATGAATGAGATGTAAATGAAATGAGCACACTGGAGACACTTTAGTTCAGCTCTGTGTATGTTCACTTTCTCCAAGACTGCCTTCTCTCAGTCTCCTGTGGTCTGTGGGGCTGTTTCATTGTGGAAGATCTCTTAGTGAGAGCTAAAGGACTCGAGTGCTACAGCTTAGCAGAGTCTTTCACATGTGTCACTTAGGAGAGAGGGCTGGTTGGACTCAGGTTTGTATTGATCAAAGTCCAGCAAGCATCACCAAGGAATTAGCTCAGGGAAGGAGCCAAACGGTGTGTTTAGAAAATGCCTCAAGCGTTTAAAAAAAACTCTCTGAGATGAATTTATTTAGTCCTGAAAGCCCAGGAACTCTGCCACACATTTCTACATGTTTATTGTAGTCCCATATCCCACCCAGGCACAGCATTACAGCACTGCAGCAGCACATCTTATTGCCTGCAGCTCAATGCCTGCCATCCAAAATCTTACCACCAGCCCTCACTATCAGAAATGCAGAAGATGATGGACCTGTCAGGAGGAGGAGAGGCTTGTGTCCTGCAGGAGAGGCACATGGTGCCAACCTGAGCTCCCCACACCGCCGGGGCAGGACCAACCATTCCTCACTGCCATGTGTGGCTGCAGCATGAGCTCCCCACTGAGGACAAGCAGGAGACCAAGAGAGCTCCAAAACAAGTTAGGATATCACCTGCCAAGTGCTGAGGAGACAGGATTTGTGTTCTGCTTCCAGTTCATTTCTGTTTGAAAACTCACAGGTGGGGCATGTTTATGCACTTCCCACGAGGCATATGTTTGAGCACCTTTCTTCTGAAGGGGTGTTTGGCCTCCCAGCACCCATTGTCTTCCTCATGCATAAGTAATGTCTCTTCCCTGTAAGTCAGTGAGTGTGCTGCTTGGCTTCTTGGTGAAAGCTTTAACAGATGAAGTTCAAAAGTGGCAGCACTAATGGCCCGAGAAGAGCAGAGCACCTGGTACCTCCCTCCCACCATCAGGAGCGCTGGAAGGACCAAGGTTATGTGAGTCAAGCAGGAAGGCCTGAAACGGGATCATTTTCTACCTTTTTGCTGATTTGATATGAAGACCTCTGTCAACAAATCCTTCATTATGCAGTTTCCTGCTCAGGCTCCGTGAGGAACAGCGCAGTAAGCAGCCCACACATGTAATATTAATGGTCAGAGAAGCAGCACTGCTGCTCTGTTTGTATGTACTGCCAATGCTCATTAAGAAATTCCCATCCCATGGTAAAGATGGGCTGGTGGATTACACACGACAGGTTCCTGCAAGTGTCTCCTCAAAGCAGCCCCAGAGCCTGGAGGGACACATGTTCCACCCTGAACCACATTCGCTTGCACCACCTGCCAGAACTCACTTGCTCCTTCTTTCTGTGTGGGTGCAAATGAGGCCTCCTGTTGTGTTCCCCTCCTGCAGTCACAGACACTTCTCTGTCTCTGATTGATGCTGTGCTGGCACACTGACAGTGGCTGGGTATCAGCTGCTTGGTACCTGAGTTCCTGTGGCACCTGACGGAGCTCAGATCAGTGTCACTGCTGCCAGAGAGCTGCAGCTTTGAAGTGCAGCAGGAACTTTGCTTAATCATGCTCAGACCTTTGTTCCTAATAATTAAATTAGAGCTTCCTACAGTCGGTTAACACACCAATGACATAAAACCCATCACTGCTCAGCCCTGATGATATGAGACTGCAAAGATGACTGAGATCCCATTTTCAACCTTTTGCTGAGCTCAGTAAGCACAGATGAATGGAGTACAGGAGAAATAAGGATAGGAGTGAGGGGACTGTGCTTAAACTCTCCACAGGCACTGTTTAGGTCAGCACACAGTGGATGTGTCCAGCACAGGATGATCTGTATCCATGAAGAATTCATCCACCAGCACAGATGCATCTCATGCCCCTCTGTTTCTTCAGCAAATCCTTTGTCTGATAGGCTGTGGACACCCATTTTCTATCCTGTTGTCATCAAGCCAAAAGCCAAAATCACTGTGCTCCTCTTGGCCATTAATAACTTTTTACAGCTCTCTCCCATCAGTCCTCCCTCTCAGGCCTAATCAATAGCTTTGCTCTTAGCACTTGGCATTCCCTTCTGTTCTGCCAGTTAGGATACCAAGGTCAAATCAGTCCCTTTTGTGTTTCTCTCATAAATAAGTGGAATCAGACTGCAAAATATTTTGTAACACTAAAAAAATCCCATATGCTGATCAGATCTTGCTCTGTACCAAGCCTTGACTGTGGCTTTAATACAGCCCTTGGTAATCTGCCTTTTGCAAGACCAGTTCATGCAGCTGAAGAGGCATTTTTGGCAGGCTGTGAGTGGAAGCTCAGAGGGACTTTTTTCACTGTGCTGCCCCAACCCCTGAAGAGTGATAGGATTTTAATCAGCTCTTCTAATTGTTTTGTCCCCTTGTTTGGTACAGAGCTGGTGTCCCCCACTCCCAATGCACCCGTGATGAGGGATTGTAATTGAAGAGGGATTGAAGAGGGTGCTCTTTTAACCCAATTGCAATCTGATTTCTGAGGCTGCTGGGATTGGTTGCTGTAAAACAGCAGTGAAGAGGGAGGACAGATAAAGAAGCTGAGCACCATGACACAAATCAGGCCTGAAACCAGGGGAAATTTCCAGGTTTTGGAGCAAGTGCCAGGACAGAGCACAGAAGAATTTGCTAACAGCTAAATTATGCCACTTTGATGCTCCTAAAAAGAATAACATCACCCTCTCCTCCTCCAGAGTCACACCCTTACATCTTGAAAGCCTGGTTCAGCTTCTCACCCTCCCCTGCAATGGCCTTGGCTATAAACAGCCTCTCCTCCCTTTGTGGTGTAGACTTGGAAGTTCTGAAGGGGTTGGGAAAAGAGAAAGCAGCAGAGAGCAGGAGAAGGGAGCAAAAGGGGAGAGCTAAGCTGGGACTCGGGGGGTATTTTGCAGCCTGACCTGTTGGGAAGGGGAGCAGCAGGACACACTGCCATCTCTGGATGAGATGTTTGTGAGATGCAGACAGCCTTGTCTGTGCTCTGGAGCTCCAGCCCTGAGAGCAGTACTGAGCTGGGAGGAGCAGGGCTGTCTCCAGCAGGATTTGTGGTGAGCCCGCTGTCCCCAGCTCAGCC